GAGGCTGCCTGCAGAGCCTTTGCAATACATAAGACTATAGGTAGAAGCCTGAACCACATCCAGATCTCCAGAGATGGGAAATTCCCACTTGAAAGGACGAGCAAACCAGCCTGGAGCGGCTAGAACAGAAGACACTTCTTGAAAGAAAGACCTACAGGAAAAATACAAAACAAAAGAGGCAGATGGACTGTTACTATAAGAACAAACAAATTGCTGTCCAGCAAACATCAAGGCAAGTGGTTGGATCCCCTTAATGCAAACCCCCTTCCAAGACTAAGACTCAGTGGGAATACACGAGTACTCTGATTGGTGACCACGTTTGTCACTGATAAGGTGAAGTGAGGGAAAAGCAGGAAGAAGCTGCAAGCTAAGCCCTACAATGTTCAATAGACTCCTGTGAACCCAGGTGGGGACCTAGCTGGCCAGCAGTTTGGCAAGACCTGGGGACTCTTGGGCCCAGAGTCAGTGACATAGCCACAGAGGACTAGAGTGGAGAGTGAAGTGTCCAGCTGATTAAGAAGAGAGGGCATATGTGTAAGAACATCCACACTTACAGATAATACCCACTCAACCTGGGTTCAATGACTAGATGATCAGAGCTCAACTAGAAGAAGAAAGAAGAGGAAGAAAAGAGTAATCTGATACAATTTGATGAACTTGATCTACACCTATGGATGCAGTAGCTCAAAAGAGGGAACAAATCTTTACAGCGAGGATCATTCCCACCTCCTCAATACACAGGGTAGACAGGGATGGGCAACTTGGACATTGGCTACCCAAAATGAGAAGGCTACAAAGGCAAGAATTGACTGGCTTATAAGCTTTAAAAAGGGAGCCTAGATCCAGAGGGCACGGAGGAAAGTAGAATCTCCACTGAGTAGAATCCAATCTGTCTGGGTGGGGCTGATGAAAAGAGATGGGGATGGCACTCTTGTGATACAATAGTGAATAATTACTATCAGGACTGACTGTGAGAGTTGGAAATGTAAAGGTAGATGTTTTGTAACAAAAGGAGGGGGGTGATGACTTTGCAGTCCAGGACCCGAGATCACCATCAAGGGACAAGAGCAGAGTGTGGGACCGTACCCAGAGAAGCAGTGACGCTAGAAATGGAGGCAGAGATGATGACATGGAGAGATGGAGTGGCTGGGGACTCTAGACCCCTAGAGGGAGAGAGGCTGTGTGCTGATGACCAGGGGGCAGGCTTGCAGCTTAGTTGATGATGCATGGAGGGGATTGTAACCATGGCAATGAAACGATATATGATAGGATGAATGTAAGGTTAATGTTCTCCCATGTAAATTATCACATAATTCACAATAAAATGTTTTTTAAAGAAGAAGATGGAAGGAATACACAGAGTCACCGTACCAAAAAGAAATGGATGATGTTCAACCATTTCAACAGGTAGCATATGATCAAGAAAGAATGATACTGAAGGAGGAAGTCCAACGCGCAGTGAAGGCACTGGCAAAAAACAAGATTCAGGGAATTGATGGAATACAAATTGAATCCTTTCAACAAATTGATGTAGCAGCGGAAGCACTCACTCATCTATGCCAAGAAACTTGGAAGACAGCTACCTGACTGATTGGGAGAGAGAGATCTGTATTTGTGACTATTCCAAAGAGAGGTGACCCAACGGAATGTGGAAATCATCAGACAAAATCATTACTATCACATGCAAGTAAAACAACTAGCAAGTTTATTTAATAACAGAAATCTCACTTAATCCTGAACAAATAAGCTTCTGCTGGGGCTCCCATCTAAAATGAGGCACTCAGGATTTCTGGGAACCCTGGAACGGTGTAAACTCCCTCCTTCTTCAACATATATATGAATTTTGATCCTGACAGACCATTCTACACCCCATCATTTAGGACTATATATAGCGGGAAATAAGGAGCTCTGGTAGCGTAGTGGTTACAAATCGGGGTGCTAACCTCAAGGTCGGCAGTTCGAAATGACCAGGGTTCCGCGGGAGAAAGATGAGGCGTTCTGCTCCCATAAAGATTTACAGCCTCGGAAACCCTGTGCAGGGTCACTATGAGTCGGAACCGACTCAACAGTACTTAACAGCACTTAACAACATAGGGAAAAATGCCAACATCGTATTTCAAGCATGACTGCAGCTTGATGTTTAAGCGGCTTCCCAGCATCCCTTTGCTGCACTGTGTCGCACAAGACAGCAGGGGGCGTGCTTCTCTTTAAGCTGCCTTCTAGCGGAAGCCTAAATCCTTAGCCTAAAGCCAAGCACGGAGTAGGAGAATCATAAATGTTGAACACAGAATAAAGGACTGATGAAGTAAACAGCATACGTATCAGGGTGCTGTGCCTGTTTCCAGCATAACAGCTCTTCTTTCAGGGGTCTGGGACGGAGGGGTATAGATGAGCCGGGAAGGAGTTAGAGCAGGACACCAGATTTCCCTGTGAATAGTAACATCACCTGAACTCCTACCTGAGCAAAGTAATTTCCTAGGGATGTGTGCGGCCTTTCAAGGTAGGGAATGGGGGTGTGGGAGAATGCAGGAGAAGAACTGTCACCTCCAGGCCCACCATGCAAGGACGGCACAGAGAACCCTCAGCTGATTCACTGGCATGGGTGTAGGTTTGAAATAAGGTGAAGCTGGGCACGGTGAAGCGTTTCCGTGACAGCAGACCAAGAGCTAGGGGTCCCTGCATAGGATAATAGGATAGGATTCATGGCAGCACTTGGAGCTGTTTCGGCCCCCAACCATCTCAGTACCACCACCACCACCCCTCAAACACACACCTGCTGCTCACTGATGCTGTAAATTCATCTGTTCAGAGATAAACCCTGCCACCCTACAATGAGAAAACAGCCTCGTGTAAAACTCTCCCTGGGAAAGGAAACAAATGGATCTAAGCTCTCAGTAAAGGGTGCTATGGTATTTTTTCTTGCCGGGGCCCAGCTTTGGGAGGGAGACAAGAACAGAAGGATCCTGGGGAAGAGTGAAGTCAGTGGAGGGGGGACAGACACGGGCAACGAGGGCAGACCAACTTTCCTCCTTTCAGTGGCATTAGAGTCACCCTCCCCTGTAGCACTGGGGACAGGCCAGACACTCAAGCTAACCAGAGAGAAAGCAAACATTTCCTCTGTCCCTCATGCCAGCATCTCTCAGCAAAATGTATAAAACGGCCCACTTATTTTTATCGCTCACAGATTTCCTGAGAAATGGTCTGTTAGTTCCCCTAATGTAAAGATAATAGGCTTGTCCCTGTTGGCAAATGGCACCACCCCAGCACAAACATGCTCACAAACTATCAGGGGGCCTCCCCTGCTGAGGATGAGAGGAGGCATGAGGGGGGCGGGACAAGGGGGAGAACAGGACTTGGAGAGGAACCAGCAGTGGGCTTGGGCTTCTTCACCCCCAACCTGGGTGCTATCTCCATGGCCACTCAGGCTCAACCCACTGTACCCCATGGAGGCCATTCATGTCTTCAGAATCCCTGACATTTTGCTTCTATTGTCTGGAAGGGGATGGAACATTGGTAAAGAATACAGGACCTGAGCTGGAATGAGGGAGTCTCTATCTCTCTAAGGTGGGGATATCCTCTACAAGGCAGGCCCACAGAGCCAAAGAGAAGCATCGTTCTCGGGTCCATCCCTGCCACCGCAACTGACCCTATCCTTGCGAGACCTCATTTCCAATTATACAGCCTTCACACCGAACCATCACAAACACCGACGAGCTAAGGAGACACTATTAGAATCATCCCCCTTTAGCTGATGGAAAAACAGAACATCACACAGGGAAAATGAGTTATCCCCGGTCACACAATGACGCGATCCCTGAGTGAGGGTTGGATTCTAGCACATCAGGCTCCACAGGCTAGTAACAGGATGCTTCCCAGAGAAGCAAGCCCTGCTGTTAGTTTCAAGATGTTCTCTCCCTCCCAATCTTTCCATCCCCATCCCTCAGGACCACAATTGCTGCAATGATGGCACCTCAGGGGCTTCAGGGATAAAACGAGGGACCATGGCTCTTAGGAAGTTCCCCCAGCCCTCCCCTCCCTATTCACAGCATGTGGAGCACCTTAGCCCTTGGCAAAGGCTGCTCTCTTCACACCAAGAACAGAAAAAAAGAGTTTGGCTTTCCCCCATGGTCCTCAGATGGACGGATTCCTTCATCCAGAGCCAGGAACCCTGCCAGGTTGTGGTTGCCGCCGGGCATTGAGTCACACAAGGTATGCTTTAACTGCAAGTTACTATTTTACTTTTCACATTTATGCTTGTTCTTCCATCTAGGCTAAATGTTGAGAGCAAAGATCCCAACTGGTAGCATTTTTTCTCCCAGGAAACCTTGGAACATACCAGGCAGGTAATGAGGGCTCCGTGATACACCTATTGGTAGATTGGATTGGGGAGGGGGGGGGGGCGCACAGCCAAGGCTCTGTTCACATTGGTCTCAGTGAGTGCATGGCTGTGCAACTTCTACTCAGCCTCAGCCTCAGTTTCCTTCTCGTCTGAAGCCCATGCTATTTCCCTAGAGCTCCAGGCTATATCTCCAGGGTCCAGCTCCAGGCCTAGCACATAACATAGCAGTGCTCTCCTGCCAGCTGGCCTCTACTGTCCTGTCACCAGGGGCACAAGGCAGCCACCTAACAGTCCCACTTCTCTGGCTGATAGGGCCTGGGGGCAGGAAAGAGGGTCTATAGCTGTGGAGCCTCAAGTCTGGGCAGGAGGTATGACAGTCTGGGTGCTGGGCACACTGGAGTGAAGCTGCCAGTGTGGAAGGAGATGTAGTCCCTTGGGGTTGTCCATTGGGTGGCCAGAACTCCTTTTCAGAGTAGCAATGGAGGTGAAATCATTCTGCATTTGAGAAGGGAGATGGATGCCTCACAGCCACAAAGGAACAAATTTGTTCTGATAGTCAAAAAAAAGGGGGGGGGGGGGGGAGGGGAACTACTGAGGAACACAGAAAGGAGGAGGCAAGGAGAAGTTGAGCTAGCAGAGGGTGGAGAGGCCAGTTTACTGGTTAGCCTTTTTCTCCTTCTTTGTTGTGTTGAGTGCGCTCCTCTGGGACCAGGGTCTCACCATCTGGTTCCACTGCTAAATCCTCCCTTAGGAGGTAGCAGGCCAGCTGATCCAGGGCTTCCAGGCTCACCCTCTGCAGACGCTGCTGGTGCTCGTGCCTCAGGATCCGCAGCACTGCCTCAGCGTCCTGTGGCCTGAAGTGCTTGGTCAGAATCTGGTCCAGCTGGTGCCACAGGGGCTGAGGCCAGGGGCTGGGCTGCGTCTTCTTCAGTGCTGCCTTCTCTGAGGGTCGAACAATCACACTGATGGAGGCACTGGGCCCGATGCAGTAGTCAGAGAGGCATTTGTCATCGTCCATGAGCTGGCCACGGAAAAGCAGGTGCTGCTGCTCTTCTAGTATCTGCAGCCGCTCTGACACCAGCTTCTTCAGCGTGGCCACGCTTTCTTTCCCAGACACCTTCAGGCTGCATTTCCGGCCCAGGAGCAGTTTGACCGTGAGGAGCATGGGGCTGGGAGTGGAATCAGGAGGCAGTCATGTTTAGGGGCTGCCCTGACTATCAAGGGCCCTGCAAGAGAGGTTGGTGTCCCTATCAATAAGGGACTCCTAGATCCATGGATTTGGCCCTGGTGGTCAACCATTGGCCAATACACAATGATGCCACAATGCTGCAGAGGGACTCATTCCATAGTAGAACTTGAGGGAAAGCAGTGGAGCATTCTGGGAGCGTATCCATGGAAAGAGGAAAGGGAAAAGGAAGGCCAGGAAGAAAACGGAGAAAGGAAACAAGAAACGACATCTTATCTGTCTTGGTATACCCATCTCCAATGCACAGGGCCTGGTACATGTAAGGTCTCAAATACATGCTCATAGATTGAAGGAAACAAATATTGGGTCATGCAGGAGGATGCAAGGTCCAGGACTGCAGACTGAGGGGACAGATCAATCTGCCTGCAGCCCTCCCCTCACCCTACCTCCTCCCCCCATAGAGATGGAAATCCAAAATTACATAAAAATAAATCAGAAAGCGATCCCTGTCTTTACCTAAGGATCTTCTACAATATTTCTTTAAAGAGCCAACTCCCTTGGTGCATTTGAAATAGGATAGAATTTGCAAATGTACCTACAGATGAACTCTCTGGTGTCAGGGAATAGAGAAGTAGATGGGGTCTCTCTTGGACCATCCGGGAGCTCCCAGACTCTAGAGGAGAGGACCCCAGAGTGGACAAGCCATTGAAGGTGAAGGAACAGATTGGGGATTTACTTTGGGCGATGCACAGAGCAGAGCTAATCCAGAAAGGCCTTTCTGGAGAGCTGAAGTTTGTGCTGGGTTTTCTACAAAAGACAAAAGGAAGATGAGATGGGGAAGAGGGTGGTCTACAGTCCTCCTAGGTTATGGAACTTGTGCGGGAAGGAGCAGAAGCCAGAGTTGTGAACATGGAGGAATATGAGGAAGAGCTACCTACGTCCAGTCTACCCTCCTCAGAGCTGTCTACCAAGTTCTAGAGGAATAGGAGGACAGAAACTTCAGAATTAGGGGTGTTCTGAGGAACTGAGAGAGACAGTTACCACCCTGACCCCTGACCCTCTGCCCTGGAACTCTCACTGTTCTGGCCAAGGAGGACAGTGGGGGACACCTTGCTGGACCCTGAAATCACATTGGAAGCCTGGAAATTTCATAATTTTCCCTCTGTAATTGCTTGTCTTAATTATGCAATTACCCTGAGAAAATGTAATTGTGTAATCAGAGCATGCAATCAGACAATGATTGCCATAATTAGGGGGGAAGATTAGAGGGAACAAGTGGGTTTTGTGACTTGGGGGAAAGGAAGGAGTGTGTGCAGAGAGAGTGCTGGACAGTAGTGGTCTTGGGCCCTGCTTGTGGACAATTACAAAGGCAATTAGTGTTGTTTGGAAACAAGCACTGTCTTGGGTGGAGAAGGGGGTGAAGGGGCGGGGAGGTGCTCTGGAGCAAGTCTATGGGTATTCAGGGACCTGCAGCCCTTTGCACTAGCTTCTGAAGGGACTATTCAAGCATCAGGACACTGAAGACCTGAAGTCTATAGAAAGAAAGCCAAGTGCCCAGCTGCCAGCCTGGGGCCCTGGCCTTGAGCAAGCCTGTTCCTTGAGTCTCGTTTTCCTCCTCTGTCAAATGGGAGAGTCATCACTGCCCAGCTGACCTCCCAGGGCTGCTATGAGGGTCAAGAGAGGCAGGTTATGTGCCCCAGGATCTAGCATAGTATCTGACTCTAAGAGACATCCAATATATATTTACTTAAATTTATAAATCTAAAAATAAATAAATAACAACAACAAGAGTTGCCATTGAGTCAGTTCTGACTCATAGTGATCCTAGGTGTGTCCGAGTAGATTCAAACCACTGCCTATAGCTTTTGGTGCCTAAAGTGCTATGTAAATGTGAGCTGTTATTAACTGTTATACACACATAATCACAGCAGACCACATTGCATCTAGAAGCACAGGCCTGGGGCATCCCCACTGCTTCTACAGGAAGGTAGTTCAAACTGTCCTCTACAGACATGGTCAGCCAAGAAGGAAAGGAAACGAGAGACATTTGCTGACAGCTGAGGGGCTGTGGGAAGTTTATGACCATTCCCTGGGGCTGCATGAAAGACTCATCAAAAAGATAAGTTATGTCCTTTGCCCATCTCACTCTCCGGGCAAGTTATCAAGTTCTTAGGCTTTAATGATGTCAGGTTGGTCCTGCAGAGGAGACTGGGGAGAGAAACAGAGCGAGGCAAAAACAGACACTCAAAAAAGAGAAAGCAAAAAGAAACACAGAGAGAAACAGAGACATGAGGAGCAGAGAAAGAGAGAGTGAGACTGGTAGCATTAGGGGGCAAAGGAAGGGAATGGAAGGATGAAAACCAAGTACAGAAAGAGGAGAGCACTAGAGGAACCACAGTGGATAAGAAGAGAGAGAAGGAGAAGGATCAGAGGCACAGGAGAGAAGGTTTTTACTAAAGGACACTTGTGCCAGGAAACAGTAGGTTCCCGATCGCACAAGTGGTTTGAATTCACCTATTAAACTAACCACCACTCGTTGGAAGTTGTCAAAAATGAATGAAACACATAGATTGATAGCCTATGGATTGTTTTTGTTGTTGTTAAGTGCCATGGAGTCAGTTCTGACTCACAGTGAGCCTGTATAGGGTTTCTGAGGAGTTACTGGTGGGTGCTTATCCTACAGTGCCACACCAGAATCTGAAATGGACACTTAAGCCAGTCATGATGAGATTGAAGAACTCTACCAACTTCTTCAGTCTGAGATGGATCAAACATGAAATTAAGATATATTGATAATTACTGATGATTGGAATTTAAAGGCTAGAAACAAAGAAGTCTGGAAAATATGATGCTGGTGATGGAAACGATGCTGGAGATTGAATGATTGAATTTTGCAAGACCAATAATTTATTTATTGTAAATACATTTTTTCAACATGAAAGTTTACTATAATGTGTACCTCACCAGATGGAATACACAGGAATCAAATTAACTACATTTGTAGGAAGAGACAATGGAGAAGTTCAATATCACCAGCCAAGACAAGACCAGGGGCAGACTGTAGAACAGACCATCAATTGCTCATATGCAAGTTAAAGCTGATGCTGAAAAAATTAAAACAAGTCTATGAGAACCAAAATATGGCCTAAGTATATTCCATCTAAATTTAGAGACCATCTCAAGAACAGAGTTGATGTATTAGACATCAATGACCAAAGATCAGAAGAGTTATGGGACGACATCAAGACCATCATATAATGACTTCCAGCAAGATGATGAACAAGACATACGGACCCTTTGCAACAAAGATATGTGAGACCAAATTAACCTGACACAGATGAAAATCCTGGAACCTTCAATTTAAGAGGAAAGGTTAGAGAAGTGGCTTTAGTGCTTGCTGGGAGGAGCTGAGCAGGGATAGCGAGAGAGGGAGACTGAGTGGTGACGGGCCAGCAAGACTCAACACTACCATCTAGAACTTCTGTGAACCCCTTTGGTGACAGAAGGTGGCCTGGCAGAGCAGATTCACGTAGACGATGGATAGGAAAGGTGGGATTCCTTCTTTTTCTCCACAATCCCCTGGTGACTAGAGGTATGGGCAGCTTCTACTGTCATCCACTCCCAGTGCAGCCACTGCCCTCAGTGAATCTGGAACCCTGTGGTTGGGAGCCACGTCCGTGTGAGGTAGGGGCCACCTATGCCACTTTGGTGCCTGGATTCAGGTGGGCTTGGATCCAGACCTACAAACTAGTAGAGCCACCAGACCAGCAATAGTCTAGCAGAAACCCTCATAACGGCCACCCTGCCGCCCAGCTGCTCCATCAAGGGCCTTCAAGAACTCTTTCCTGATTGAGTGCCCTGAACATAGTTAACATCTAGGCCTATATAACTATAGTCCTGGTATGGTGCTGCAGGCTGATGCGCTGGATCGCAAGGTCCGTTTGATCCACAAGGTCAGTGGTTCAAACCCACCAGCCACTCCTCAGAACACTATACAGGATCGGTATGGGTCGGAACCAACTGACTGCACTTAGCATCAACAACAGGCCTATACAATAGGAGGCCTGGTGTGGTGCTGTAGGATAAGCACTGGATTGCTAACTGCAAGTTTGGCAATTCCACCACCTGGAAGCCCTGTACAGGGTTGCTATGAGTCAGAATAGACTCCATGGCACTTAACAACAGGCCTGTAGGAGCTCCATCTAGGGCCAGGAACTTTGCTGCCAAATCCCTCCCACAGCCACCTCGTGAGCTTCTTGGCTGGCAGGAGCCTCACAAAGTTGTCTTCTGTCTAGGTCTTACAGCTGCCTGCACTGGTTTTTTTTGTAGTTGTTTCTATTTTTTGTTTCCTTTTGCTGTTTTTGTTTGTTCTTTCTTCTTCTCTTTCTGTTTCCTTGTATTTTATCCCATCTCTCACTTTTATTTTTCCTTCTTTCTTCTGCTTCTCATTTCCCCTTTGCTTTTTTATCCTTTTGATCTTTCTTTATAAGTTTTTATTCTCTTTCTCTTTGCATCTTCCATTTCTCTAGTTTTTCCAACTGTTTTTATTTCTTTCTTTTATTTTTCTCTTTTATGGCTACATTTTCCTGTCTCTCTTTTCTCTTTTTAGTTATTATGTTCTTTTTATCTGGTTGCTGCCTGTTTTTATTTCTCTCTTCTCATTTATTATTTTCTCCTTTTCTTGTTTGTATATTCTATTGTGTTTTCTTGTGGAGTGAGCAGTTCTCCTCTTTCCCACCTAAGAGACAGCAGCTGTGCCCATACAACCCAGCCATAATTGTACCCTCGGCAGCTCCACCCACTGGGCAAGAGCCAATACCACCACCTGAGCAATTATACACAACAGCCAACATCAGTCAAACCCACCCCAACCTGAGGTGCACGAACAGAGAACAAAGAATGGTGTACACATTTCCATTCTCTACATCCACAGGAGACAGTTAGGAACACACCAACATACAATCATCAGTTACATACAT